CGCCGCCGCCGGCACTTCCCCTTTAAGCCCCCGTCACGTGACGGCGCGGCCGCCGCTCCCCCGGAAGCGCCTCCTTGCCGAGGCAGTGCCACATTCGTCCTGCGGGTTGGCACTGCTGCGCATGCGCGGCGCGCGGCTACGGCGCGGCGGAGGGGCCAAACGCCGCGGCAGGGGGCGGGGCGGAGATTGCGCCTAGAGCAAAAGTAAAAGCGGGCTCAGCTGGAAGTCGCCCAAGTGTCCGAAAACGGCGGTTCCTGGAACAAGGCACGGGGGAGAGCTCAGTAAAACAAGGGGCCCATCCCGTTGAATATGGAGGGTCTGCGCCTCAGGGGCCGGGCAAGCAGGGCCCCAAAGGGAGAAACACGTTCTAATAGGTCCTGCGAGGAGAACTGCAGCACCAGAGCTGAACACCGCGTCTTACACAAACCTTACGTAAGGCAGATGTCACCTCCAACACGGCACCGCTGGCAGCGTTCTGCGCTCGTGACCTGCAGGGCCTGCAGCGCCCGAGCGGCCCTTGGCAGCGGGGAACCAGGACACCTTCCACAGCGCCTGGGGCATTCGTGCAGTGCCCGGATTCCCCCGAACCGAGCGCCTGGTCTGGCCCCCGTCTTGCGCCTTCTCCGCTCCCTTTGAAAGGGCGGCACAAAGGAAGGATAATGGGGACCCGGGGGAGGAATCGATTTATGGAGCAAAACACCTTAAAAAAGCATATTTTTGCCAATCCACTTTAATCACTTTAGAGCATTCATTACAACGATATTAAAAATGTCAATAATCTACACTTGCCTCTGTTGCCTATTTAAAGGCATCTGTTATATTTTAGTATTATATACTTTCACATTGCTTGGAAACTTAGAAAATAATTGAAACTATTAAAAAAAAAGTCAGTAATTCAAATTTAACCTTGTTTTCCCTAACCAGCAAGAGAACTTGCAGGCAAATGTTCATCAGATGTGAACACTGAACTTGCTCATGACTCAGGATGCTCCATAAATAGAACAGATATTGATGTCCTGTTTCAGCAGATGCAAATCACCTCCCTTTTCTCATTATGGTATGTCAGAGTGGCAAGCCAAGATTCTTGCTGTTGTAGAGATTTTCCTACTTGCTGTTTTGAAGGAGAAATCAAGAACCCCTGTCTGACCTAGGTTTTCTTCTAGATCAGACCCACAGAGGTCGTAACTACATCAAATAAGTTAATTGGAAGCAGCTGGAAAAAAGGAGGGTTCTTTCAGTCAGGCTATTCAAAACCACAGTTTTGTTTTTCCCTTTTCTTTCCAATATTTTAGCCATATGAGTGCTTAACTTTTTGAAGAAAGGTCGCCTGAAAAGGTTGAAGCACTCCACCCTATTCAGTTAGCATCTTCCTCATAACAAAATCCGTTCTGAACTTTCCAGCAGATTCCTTCAGCAAAACCTGAGAAGATGATTACATTTCTGATGAAAAAAAAAAAAAAAAGGACTCAAGAAAAAAGTTACTACAACGGTCAAGACGCTCAAAAAGAAAGGAAAAAAAAAAAAAAAAAAAGTACCAGCCCATGTCTTCCTCTTGGCCCACTGGGCTGTCTCTGTGGGCACCCAGCTCGGACACGACATTATTCTGGTTTGCTGAAGTGCTGATAGGGATCTAAGCAGCGCTGTGCTGCTCAGCAGCAGCTCATTTACCAGAGCTCCTCAGACAGAGCAGAAGTGGCAGGAGAGACAACCCATCAGATTATTACAAGCAGCTTTGCTAGGGCCATCTCTGTCCCAATATTTGACACATGTGCTATGCATCCATTTTCGTCCATTAACTAAAGGATCACCTGCAAGCTCAGACTCAGCTGTGAATCAAAAGGCCTTAGGATTTGCTAAAGCCTTCAAAATGTATATATATATATATATATATTCTCTATTAAGAACACACAGGAGTATCAATATGTACTCTGATAGTCTGTTTTCATTATTATATTTACAATACATTCCAGACAGTTACAAAATTTGGGGAATCACATTTTCTCCATAAATTTATATTGTAAACTTCAAACATTTGAGCATCTTCATCAGTTCCTTCCACTTGCCCTATAATGCCAGCAAGGACATCCAGCACAGCCCCTTCTTTATTTCAGCAGCTTTTAGCTCTGTTTTGTACCTCAGCCTTTCACATCTACTTGGGATGCTGCTTTAGCTGCTCTGCTAAAACTCTGCAGCCAGTCCCTCTTGTGATAGCACAGCTTATTCACTACAGGGCATTTCCTGTGAGACAGTTTATAAAAAGCAGATATGCAAACCGACTCCTGGGCCACTCAAAGCAGCAGCATTTCATGTGTTTCTAGAGGATTCTCTTCTCAAACTACAAGTCTAGATCAGAAGGAATTAAAAAGGAGTTTAGTCAAGTATTTAAATTTCCAGTTTAGGAGAATTTGGATCCGCATGAACTGATGGCATTAAGACAATGTTTTTCTCTGACAAAAAGATACTGCCCTTATTACGAGCCATCTGGCATTCTCAAATACAAGACAGCATTCTGCTACACAGCACTGTTAAAAAGTAGAAATAGCGGCTACTGAACCTAAAAAAATTTCCAGCTCACTTTCTCTATAAACTTTTAGTACATTGTACCTAGCTGCTTCAAAACACCTCTTCATTTGCATTAGCAGGTGTGGCTACACAGTCTCCACGTACAGGCTCCCGAGTTGCCTGATACTGCTGTACCTTAGCGCTGAACTCGGGCGTTTCTAGGAAGTCGCTCCAGCGACACTCGGCTCCAAAGAAACGCAGACGCTGCCTAGTTGGTCCTTGAGCGCCTGTCCCGGGACAAGTCATATGGCTCTGACCACAGAAGCATCCTGCAAACTAGCAAAGCATTTAAATAGTTGGCAAAAGTGTTGAAAGGCACATAGCTCGTCCTCAGCAATGTCTCCCTGCTCCGCTTGTGGTGCCCACTGAGGAACCAGGGTTAGGACCCAGCTTGAAATAAAAGACAGTAAGAAAATTAAGTGAGTCTCCCAGGAAAAAATATATATTAAATTGCCTTTTTTTTTTAAACTCTAGATTTGCTATTGCATGTTTTCTCTTTCCTTCTCAGTGAAAATTAAGGAAGCTGTGGATGTCCGTTATGATCTTATTACTGTAAACTCTTGCAGGTACTAAAAGCAATGCTTATAACGGTCTGTACAGCATTTGCAAATATTTACTTTGAAAAGAGATTACTGTAGTTCTTAGCTTTCTTAGCATTGCTTAGAAACACTAAAAAACTACAACAGCTAACTGCTACTCTACACCAGATCAATATACCCCAACATATATTTAGGAATATACGTCATTATATTTAAAAATACCAAGTTCCTCTAAGCTGGTAAACCTAGAAGATTTTACATAGCGTTAGAGATAAAATATTAAAAATTCTGTTTCAACTCCACACACTTGACATCTGAATAGGAGTGATGTAATCAGACTATTTATTCCATCAGTGAGACAAAATGTTGTATGGAACTAAATTTCTGAGATTTTAAATAGAAAGTCATTTAACTCGTATATACACAAAGTGTTCTTTCCACAGATATTTACATGGCAAATATGTTAGAGGAGAACCACTATGACTATATCTCTACAAGTATAGCATCCTTTCTGAGCTATTCTCTCTGCTGAAGGAATTCACAGGAGCTTTGAAGTAAAATATCTAAACAAGTAAGGTACCTATATTTCACAGTAGGTAAAGAAGCCATTAAATTATAATTCAGCATAAGGTTTCTGGAAACAGCTACACAGTAGAGTTTTACATCCACCCCTCTTTTCCAGCATTCATGATGAAACTAAACCTCTTCTTAATTTGCAAGAGAGATAACAGCATACGTAAGGATGCACACGTGTGATTCTAGTTCACCCTCCTCGATAGAGGCTGGTCAGCCGTTCCAGCTCTTTGCAGTTGTCCATGGACATGGAGTCCGCTTTCTTTCGGAGGCGGTCGTCTCGATACACTTTTGCTGCGTACAGTAAGTCTGTTTCTTAAAAAAAAATAAAAAAGGAGATTTTTCAGGTTAAGAATGGAACACTTGACACATGATGTACTCCTTCTCAGGGCTGCCCAAATCACCTCACTCTTTTTTTCCCCCCTAAATACCCCTCTCACAGGCTTCACCAGCTTTTCATCCTGTTGAACAGTGAAAGAGGTAACAGCCTTCCAGAACCATCATATTTCACAGCAGTCCCTAACTGAAAAAACTACTTTTCTGTCAGATGTTTTATTGAACAATACAAATATACACCACACTCAGTGATCTTGCATGTTACAGACAGCTCTAATGTCTTGTCTGTGCCCCAAAACCACCCCAACTGCTAAGCCCATTACTTTGCTCATGCTGCTTCACACTGCCAGTGCTGAGAGGTGCCAACAGAAGAGCTCTCAGAGTGACACTGGCCTTCACCAGCTTATCACTTGCTTGATGTTGTTGAGAATTTTAATTCTCTACAATCTTTCTCAATTCTGCAACTTGCGGTGGATTAGCAAAGCATTCTTAAATGTCAGTCAATACTGTAAAGAATATTTTAACTGTCAAACAGATCTAAAACACAACACATTTCAAATCCATAAAATATAGAGAAACTCCACTAGGGACTGCTTTTTCAAAAATCAATTGGAGAGGTTTCACAGCTTGATAAATTACAAATAGAAATCAAAATGACAGACACAACCATCAGGTTATTTTTTTTTTTGCCTTTATACTAGTGTAAGATGTTTCTCCAGCCATCATTTTTTTTCCCATTAAATATTTGCATGTTGAAGGGTGGGCCTCTGCATTGCCCAGGGCTCTCCCAGTCCTTATCAAAGTAAGCCTGGCAAGAACAAACGCTGAAGAATGAAGCATTCTTTTCCCCTTTCCTTCCCTAGGTTGGAATTGTGTATCAATTAATATCAGAAACACTTAGACAGTGTATTTTACATGAAACTTACATCTAATGTGCCAGTAAATCCAAGTGTAATAACGAAGTCACTAAAAGTACATCAGCCTTCTGCTGAAAATTTCACAGAGAATTGTTCTCTTCTTGATGTTCTGGTTTATCTGTTACTTTTTTTTTACTTTTTTTTTATATATAACAATCACAACTCTCAATTTTGTGAGCCATTTCATTACACTTAAGTATTTTATTTCCATTTGAAACTATCAATCCTTTATCTAGAAGCCATCCACAAATGGGTGCACCTTTCCTGTTAGGCATTAAGAAGTGCACAATAATACTATTTAGATAATAAATGATCAGGGATCATCAGGATGATCAGGGGCCTGGAACATCTGCCCTATGAGGAGAGGCTGAGGGAGCTGGGCCTGTTCAGCCTGGAGAAGAGAAGGCTGAGAGGGGACCTGATCAGTGTCTATAAGTACCTCAAGGGAGGCAGTGAGGAGGATGGTGCTGGCCTCTTTTCCCTGGTGGCCACCAACAGAACTAGAGGTAATGGCCACAAACTGAAGCACCATAAGTTCCGCATGAACTTAAGGAAAAATTTCTTAACAGTGAGGGTGCCAGAGCACTGGAACAGGCTGCCCAGAGAGGTTGTGGAGTCTCCTTCTCTGGAGATCTTCAAAACCCGCTTGGACGCAGTCCTGTGCCACGTGCTCTAGGTGACCCTGCGTGTGCAGGGGGGTTGGACTAGATGACCTCTAGAGGTCCCTTCCAACCTTAAGCATTCTATGATTCTATGAAATGAAAATTCAGGTATTTGTTTCTTGAAATGTGACCATTTTTGAGTATTTCAAGATTATCATTTGGGGTGAAGCGTTTGGCATCACTGCTTTGCAGAGGGTGAAGTGAGGCAGGAACACACAACTGGTTCAGGGAGCCACATACTCTTTGCTTCTTGTCAATGATGAATTTAGTACCAGTTTATGAATGAGTTATTTCTCCGTGAGATATTACTGGTTTAGCGGCACGCGTTTCTGACCTTAGCACCGGTGTCATTTAAGCAAAGCTGCTTTCACAGAGTCCAAAAGGCTCTGATGCCATTCAGTACCACAGAGATGCTCAGTATATATAATGTATAAGGCTGGCTCATAAGAAAGGTACACAACTGTAACGGATACACAACAAAAAATGAAATAGTGCCATGATAAAATTATGCGGAAGAAATCAGAATTTTCAGCTTTAATCCTTTCGAGATTTTTTTTCTTCCATTATAAATTATTAATTATTATTTTTCTGAGAAATGGCCACAGGCAATAGAATAGGTTAAAAATGTTGACTATTTGCAGATGGTTATTAGGTCATTGAGTAAAAGGGAAATTAAGTGACCCTAAATGTGACAATCTGAGAAGTGAGAAACACTAGGGAGCTTCACACTTGCTTTTTTCCTTCAGATATATTAATAATATGGACAATTGATTCTAGCCTAACACATTTTTTTAAATAGTAATGCATGCTTTTATATAATTATACATACTAGAAAACTTACTTTGTTGCCTCTCTTTCCAACAGTTATTACGGATGTTGGACACATAATCCTCTTCCACACTCTTTTCCACTTTCTGTATTGACACTCCTTTATATTCATTTCTAAAGTCCTTGTTGACATAGTAAATAACACCCAAGTTCTCTGTCTGCATTTTAATGGTCTGTCCTGTACTTCTGCAGGATAAGGAGAACAAGTAATGATATGAAAGGCTGCATATTTTATTAGAAAGAAATTACTACATTTACATGGATGCTAAACTGCTGTTTTCACCCCTAATCCCAAAAAATCAACTTTAGTGAGACGCTGCCTTCTGCACATTGAAAATCAAGGACTATGTGCAAAAATTTTGGCAGAGAGGTGTTTATAAGTATCCTAATAGCTTAGTTGCATAAGGAAACAACATCACACTCCATAACTGAGGAACACCAAGAAACGAGAAAGGAGAAAGAAGTCCTTCTGTTATGGAGCTGTGAGCTCTACAGGTCTCACTGAGAATCTTTAAGATAGGAACAGCAAGTGGGATAAGTCTGTTAGCTGTTTGAATGCTTAATACTTTCATACATCTTTTATTTTTCTTGAGGAAAAGAGACTTCTATACCCTGCTGCATAAAATAGATGGTTTCACTATCAGAATAGTCTGCCAGGCAGCAGAGAAACTATCTTACCATCATCTAGAATGAATAAAAGAACGGACAATTTCTCTAGTTCAGAATTTAAGTAAGGATGAGAAAGTTGCCTTCAAGCACTTTGCTTGCTATAAACAGAGATGACTCCTAAAATAGAAATGAGGCTTAACAGGGTTCAGGACTGGATTAAACATGCCCAAGACACAAATGCTTTTGCAACATACTATTTTTTATGGACTCACTGCCTCATATTAGAAGGTCTCCTAAGTGCCAGTTACTGCTAACCTCTTTCTCCATGACATTCTCACAGTTTGTTCTCAGTATCTACTGTGCAAGTTCTGTTTCAGTCTATTTCTGCTTCATCTGTGCTTTTTCTTCCTTGCCTTGCTGTGAAAAAAATCAAGGTCTGACCAATGCAGAACTCCTAAAACGCTTCCAGTGGCAAGGGACCATAACATCTTATCCTGTTTTAAGCTAACAGTAATTCAGCATTACTCACGGTCTTGGATATAAGGCGTAGGGAGGGTTAGATACCATCAACTGGCTCAATAAGGAAACAAGGATCAATACGATAATAGGCATCAGCTGAATGAACATAGAGAAGCCTCCCTAAAGAACAGAAGAGAACTTTCATAAAACAGAATCAAATGAACAGATTTAATCCTAATGTTACTTTATGCCTAAGCATCAAAGCTGCTACGAAAATTTGACTACAAGAACTACTAATAACCTGCAAAGCTGCAGGTTTGTTC